AATGACATTTCCAGGGAATGAACTGTGCATCCCATTGGAATGCATTACTTTGCTTGTTAATGCTTCTATACATTTAAACCTAATTATTTATTTGTAAAGCCTGAGCATAGGGGTTCAGTGCAAAAGTAGATAATGGAAGACAGAAAAGGTGTGTGGAACAAGTTGAAGGAAAGGCCATACCATTCAAAACGTATTTACGTCTGCAGGCTAAGGGTGCCACATGTTCTATTTTTTAACTTCTCGTTATTTGGCCCTTTAATAAAAGATAAAAAAAATAAAACTTTTTTTTTTTTTTTTACTTTGTGATATGTCAAAATACCCAGTGTTATCAGAATTGTGTAAAACAGGGTTTTGAGCAACGTTCTAACCAATAAATGATGCAAAAGGTATCCGATGAAAAATGTTTCAGAAACAGTACCTATCGAATAGTATGCATATTGGCATTGCAGGGTTAAAGACATCCTTGCTGAACACGTATCACATATTTGAACAAACTATATAAAAACTTGCAAACTACCATATGCAAATATCTATTCACTACATACACTGTGACCTGATTGGACACATTACATCCTGTTTAATAGCTTTCAGCTCCCATTTGATCCTGTTTCCTTCATCATCATCCTTGACTTTTCGCCATGCACTGGAAGTACACACGCAGTCAAATGTGTCAGGATGCATACAATAACTGGGACAATAATTAACAAAGAGCATTTGAAGACAAGTAGTCATACCCTCATTACAGAGAAAACCCATTGCTCCAAAGCATACGCACAAATGCACACAGAGTTCAAAAGGACACCATCTCTGCTTAGCAGAGAAACAAAGTCTGTGACAAACGGATGGACAGCATCTGTTTCTCAGTGCCAGGCAGCAGCCTGGTGCTAATTGCAAATGCCAGAAAACACAAAGCCATGTCAGAAGGTCTCAGGGAAACTTACTGGCTCTGTGTTTTCTCCCCTTCCCTTATTTCTTCATGCTTCAGGGGTAAACAAGCAAGAAAAATATAATTACACATGAAGAGCTTCATGGTATCATCACCGTGTGAGCAGATCTGTGCCATGGATCCTGGCCACCGCCTTTCTAATTCCCAATCAGCATTAATATGTTACAACGGCTGTCATGTTGAGAAACAGTGACTTTCTTCCGAGGAAAAAGAATTCATTTCATGTAGGTATGTTTTAAGCACTAGTTAGCAATCTTTAGTTTTGCTAGTCACATATGCTTATTAAAATGTCTCAGGTCTCACATGCAAGACATCAAAAATCATCATTGCGAAACTATCCCCCGTCTTCCTGTTTTTACACAAGATAAACTGCAATAAATGTTTAGTCATGTTAACAAAACAGCTCTTCCAGATTTACTGATCTCACCTAAATAGCAGAAGCGTTAATTTTGACTAAATGTTGTGTAAATTATGTATTCATTACTCCAGATATCCCAGGAGATGAGTAATCATCCACGATACCCTCTGTGTTCACTTGCTGTTTAATTTGATGCAAGCCATTTATCAACCAGATGTTTCCAATGAGTCCAAAGATTAACTACGTGTGGTAATAAATGAGACTTTATCATTCATGAAAAGATTTGTGTGGTGAAGGGAAAAAATGCAGATCATGATGGAGGGAGATTAATTACAGGTCCAAAGAGAAGTCAAGATCATAAGGAAACCCTTTTTCAGGTCAGTTGAGCACAACAGAAGTTAAAGGCCAGCTGTGAATTTTAAGGCTGCTTTTGCTGAAATTCCCAAAAAACTGGGTACAAAAGTATGTTTTGTTGGAGAACTATGTGATCACAAGGCACATTACTCAGCAACTTTTAAATGATACGCTTTATATCTTAATAGATAAACCAAACGAGTTTCTTTATGCCAGAAAACACACACATATATATATATACAGTATATATATATGAATAATAGTCCTGAGCTGGTAATCCAGATATCGGATTATCGCAGTTGATCATTATTCATCAACACACCTGATTTGCAGGGTGCAAACACAGTCCAATATTTTTTAGAAGTGTTCACTCAATGCTCCTTTTATATTCATACTTATTGCAAAACTTAAGTATTGATAATCAAACATGCTGCATGTACTTGACCTGACACTTTGACCTTTAGCAGCCATCAAATTTTTACCGATTTTTAAAAATGTATTCGTTGCTCTTTTGTGACAACTACAGACTCAGTTTAGACACACAAATGGCAAGACCTCAGAATGGTGCAAACCAACTCTGATGTTCCAGCACTGATGTTGCTTGGACCATCTAGGACTTGTAGCAAAATGCAGATTTGAGCCGCAGAAACGTGCCATGTACTGCTTTAATGGTACATTTAATTCCATTGGTTGTGAGTATACTAATGCACGTTCACTGTAAAGATGGGTTCTGATCTATAATAGATCCGTTTTTACACCTCTTGAATTGAGTCATTTTTCCAGAGAAGCTCAGTTGTGGTTATAGGTTCAGTATGTTCATATTGTCACTGGTATGACTACATAAAAACCTAATTTAATTTTCACTGTTTTATTTCTATTCTAACCGAAGCTTCAACTTGAAGTGATGGACTCATCACTGTGCAGTAAAAGAAAAATATAAAAAGCTATTTTATGAGATTCCTGAACTTTACAACTTTTGCCAACCTTCATAACTTTCCATAGAGAAATATCAGTGGGCTGTGTTATGTTTCCATCCTTGCTCAATTTAGAAGGTCACAAAAAAACATTAGAATGGGCCATGCTGCATGCCATTGTACAGTGGTAATGTTTTCACTAAATATGGACTTTTGCCACTCCGCTGTCTGGATAAAATTGCAAAGAAAGGCACATTGTGAAGTTGATAATGAGATTATTGGAATATATGAACATAAGGGATTTGCAGAATGGGTCAAAACTACAAAGATGACGAACTGAGAGCAAAAGTTAGTTGCTTTTCCGTCAGCTTTTTTAAACTTCAAGTCGGTCTTGATTCTTTGCTTAAGATGCAGTGGGGGAAGATTTGAATATCCAAATAAATAAACAGCAAGAATAAACTAAAAGGATGGACTGAGCTACCATGCGATGGGTACACTATTTAAAAAAGATGTGCATTATATCAATTTCATTTTGAGCACCCGCTTGAATCAAAGCACTTTTGAATTTTCAGACATGGCATGAACGCAAAGTTAAAGGCCTACCTGTTCAGGAGAGGAGACGCCAGGTTATAATCCAGTTTTGGTCGAGAACCTCTTGCACTGAAAGCTTTTAATGATTGTAATTCCAGCAGGTGTTTCCAAACAAGTACGAGTAGCCAAGAGTACCTGAAATTGGATGAAAAAATAAATAAATGGATGTTTCTTTGTAAATATAAGGAATAAAATATAATAAACACTTTAAAGAACATATCTTCAAAATACTAAATTTAGACTTGTTGGTAGAAGT